TTCTGGTAAATACTTCAGTTTTAAAATTGCAGCTTTTTAATTTTCTCAGAAGAAATGAGTTAACTAGGAGTGAACCAGTCAGAATGAAGCTCTCTGGCCAGAATCAGATATCCGATATGAACATTTGGGCTGATATCCATCAGATCCAGCGAATAAACACGTAATATTCATAAATTACCAGCGAGCAGCCAGTAGCATACTTACGTCGTATGGTGTTTCCAAAATATTCAAACGAAATTTCGGCCCAGACCTATAAACTTTATTTTGTCTGATTTAATTCAAGTTAGAACACTGATTTTCGAGGAGAGAAAAGGCCGGAGGCTCCAGATTTCGTTATAGTCCGCCACGACGCACTAAGAGGCTAACATAAAAACTAAGGAGGAAGAACAAACCCCAATGTGACATGTGAAGTAATTTGATTGAATTTTGACTTCTGCTTACTGGCAGAAATGTTGTGTTTAGTGGTGAAGTCTGATATCAGAGATAAGAAAAGTTACATTAACAAACCAACGTACAATGTAAACTCAATAAGCGACTTCAAAATCTTGGACAGAGTTTTCATTCTTGAGCAAATTTTAATTTTTGGATTTGATATAAAGGTTAATGGCTATGCCAGCTCTGATTCCATGGCCTTGATAAATTGTCTTGGGTTCAGTTGTAAGTCTGATTATTGGGTTTTATTGTTAAACGTTAATTCCCAAGTTACACTGAAGGAGTGGTACCACGACACGACACGCGGCAGTTCGGCCGTCGATTCTGACAATGCTCACCGCGTACAAGAGGGACCGAAGGTACGGTAACTTGCGCGTTGATTGGTTCATATAGAAGAATTAGGCTACATTCACAGTAGGCGCGCTAACTCATGAACTTATTTTTGGTTGCATGCAACATCTACACTCTGAAAAAATGACTAATTAATAAGTGTGCAATTTTCTCATTGATTTTCGATGCCCTTGAAAATTCAATTATATTTTATGGAAAACATGCATAAAAATATTCATTCTTTTACTTATTCGGTAGACAATCGCGTCTTCTTCCAATTTCATACTCAAAAGAAGAGAATAATTCGGTTTTAAAAAAGTTTCTAATTGTGAGATTTTTGAATACCGCTAAATGGACGTTCATGAAACGTCATGTATCTGCATTTACGAATGTGGCTTTTAAAGTTAACAATATTGCTCAAATCCACTGCTTTAGTTTATGAACCTCATATGGTTTCCTCTTAACACCGTAGAGAAATGCATGGTTTTCCGTACACAGAAAATATACAGCTTGTAGTTTTGAAACCCTGAATTTAAGTGTAACAGCAGGTCGGGTTCAAAATTATTCGGGAATTATGAAAGTTTTTTAAAACCGAATTATACTCTTCTTTTGAGTATGAAATTGGAAGACTTGATTTTCTACCGAATAAGTAAAAGAATGAATATTTTTATTCATGTTTTCCATGAAATATAATTGCACTTTCAAGGGCATCGAAAATTAATGAGAAAATTGCATGCTACATAAGTAGTCATTTTTTGCAAAGCCTAGATCTTGCATGCAGCCGAAAATAAGTTCTTTCAAAAGCCGACACCCTGAGGTAACTGGATCATTATAGATTAATGCTGCACCATGATTAGTTTTACAACACTACTTAATTTATCTTTTCGAAACGAGAACGCATTTCGAAATTTTGGTTGACACTTCATGAGTTAGCACATCTACTGTATGTAGTCATTTTTATAGAGTAGGTTTTTTGCATGCGGCCGGAAAGAAATTCTTCCAAAAGCCGGCATCTCGAGGTGATTGAATTACTATAGTATTATGCTGCGAAATAATTAATTTTGAGACCCTAATTAATTAATCTCTTGGAAACAAGGACACATTTTAGGATTTCGGTCAACATTTAATGAGTTAGCCCACATACTGTACACCTATCCACCTCCTGCCTCACCCACTTGCGCCCGCTGTCAAAACAAAGTCAAGAGTAGGGATCAGGCGCAGGTGGCTGGCGCGGAGCGAGTCTGCGCCAAGGCGTGCCACCACACCCCTCTATGTGTGGTATGTTATAGGTGTGCATCCCTTCTGACGCCGACTGTCCCGAAGTGGGTGGTTGAGTCTCGATTCCTCTGTAGCTTCTTCTACTAAGGCACCGACTTACTCAGAAGCTGGTAGCTCATATGGATGTCCGTCGAGTGAGTAAAGGCTTCGGCTAGAACGGCTAATAGCAGGCAGTTCGCTAGAATAATGCTGAACCCAGACTACCTTCTCAGGCTCCTTTAACTCTTCCGGGGTTTGCATCGAGATTCATGCAAAACACCCGTCCAACACGTGTCCTAGGAGTGATTCGCATCTTCTCACGACGGTAGCGATAATTACTGTGCGCAACCTCCCCCTCACAATAAAAATAGCGAGTTATTCACCCGCTTGTTAGATTCGTCGATGGACTCTAGTTCCATTGTATGAACAATGCCGTCTGACGTCATCATATTGCCAGAGGTCAAAATCAGCCTTCTAATGGCACGCCTACAAGTTAATCCGTCAAGGGAAGATATCCAGTTGAGCACCCTGTTAGGGTATAGGAAGTGTTCTCGATTAGAAGGGATTGCTTAAGCGATTACCTGCACATTAGCATGCAACATAATCCCAAGATATTTCAATCATACCAACTTACCGGGCTTTTGAATGCGTGCCTCTCCGGCTGCCTGCGCAAAATGTAGCTAGAGTATGAATTCTGCAACTGATTTTGGACACCCTAATTAGTCCAAAAGCTTTATAGAGAGTATAAATAATGACACGGCATTTCGCACTAATTTTCCAGCGAAATACGTTTTCGTTAAGCTTTCCACTCAAAGAAGGCGTATAGTAGTTTGTAAATTTTTTTGAATTTCCTGATAATCTTGAATCCTGTCAGCTGTTCTATTCGCGTTTAGATTATCCAAACTACAATCTGCACAGTACCCATTCCAGATAGAACGACCAAAGTTCTGCGTTATTGACAAGGTGCCGTCTAGCGTACATAAATTTTATAATGCATATGGGCGAGGTATACTTAGTAAGGAGCATTAATAAACGAACTGACAAGGTACTATTTGAACAGACAATTAAGCTATCTTAAAAATCTCATAATACAAATGGTAAGGATAGGTTGTGTGACCCCACTGGGTTTACCACGCATAGGTAATTACTATATTTGTCGTAGGCCTTTTCTATTTGTCAATCGGGAGTTTTAGGGAGTCTCCCTTTGTGTGTTAGCCAAAAGTTTGATCTGACCGCACGGACCGAGTTGTACCAATTTGATTGCTTTAGTGATAAATTATTCGGCATTATGTTCTCGCTCCCCTCTTCCGTAAGCCCTTTGTCTTCCCTTTATCTCCCAGTTACCCCGATGTACTTGCATCGCCTTTCTTTCTCGATTCCACACGCCATGACTAAATTATTTCTTCCGAATGAGTAGTTGAGCGTTTTTGTAACATGTCAGTACTCACTGTACAACGCATGCTGCAAGGATCGCCGGCTGCGTTTTGGCTTACTTTGTCTCGGTGAGAACGCAAGCACTTTGCTTCCTCGATATCTCTAAGCGATTTACGTTGTCGAACGCGTACGCCCGATTTATTCATTTTTTTAAGAATACTTGTGCATAATTCCTCTCATAAACAATAATAAGACAGTTAAATTTAGTTTAGGAATGGGGTTGCACAACCTACTGCTGCCATACAAATATTTTAAACCACGAGATTTTCGAATGAAGACTTCGAAGATCATGACATCTAAAGAATACACTAAAGTAGGGTTATTTCTGCACAGGGTCTACGTAAAAGGAGTCTAGATGTATGCAAGCGTCGAAAATCAAGGGAAAAGACTCCTACTGCTTAAGTGGCTCGTTATTAGCCAGCGGGGTTTTCGTGCGGTCGGAAAGACAGTCATTAAAAAGCCGACATCCTAGTGTACCTGCAATATCTTGGAATCGGGATGCATGATACTCATTATTACAGCTCTGATGGGGAAATTCGTTCTAGTTAAAATTACATTTCAGAGTTACGACGAACGTTTCGTAAGAAAAGTCACCATCTGTAGTGATCAATTGCGAAGTAACATGGGTGCAAACACACCTTAGTGAGCTTTCATATAGGCTATGCCTTAAAATCAACGGATTTTAGACAATGTCTGGCAAACCGAAGGCGTTCCGCACGGACGCGATGCACATCGAATGTTACGCCCGCTAGCCACAACTGGTGACCCCGTTCTCCAACAACTACTGGAAAGGTCAGATGGAAGAATTCCAGCGACGAATTTACCAATCGAAGTTCATGTCGTGCCCAACTGTCATTTAAGGCAAATTTGTGGCGATCATGACAATCAACTGACATCGGCTTGGAAAGCCTCATTCGACAGGGGGTAACGAAGAAAGTAGCAATACCTATGCAGCCTATCCAGTGCCATTGAATCGGCATGTTGCTTCACACCACTGACAAACACAATAAGGATAGAAAGACGTCGGCGGTTGCCAACACAACATACTGTCCCTCCAAGCGTTTCTTCCGTTTAAGTTCTGACAGAACGTACAACCTAAACCTACTTCCTCAGATCTAATGATTGGAGTATGTTGCACCGAAATTTTTGTCCTGATGAAGACGAAGCTCCTCTTTTCGAGTGGCTGTTCATGCGCAATACTGATGCGGACCTGAGGATTGAAATGCCACCAAGAGTAACAAAAGAGCAGGGCGTCGCCATATTAAAATGTATGAGCCAACCTGGCTAGAAAATTCAGTACTTTTAGTTGAAGTAATTCAAGTGAGAAGATCATTGAGGAAGAGATCACAGAGGGCAAAAACAAAACACAAGGACTGACTGCAATGGACTCCGCCGCACACCCAAAGTGTATGGCCGGTTAAAATATAGTTAAAATACGCTGCTCAGGGGGGAGGATGAAAGTAGGCGGATCGGGGAGACGGGAGTAGAGGACAGAAAGAGAGCGGACAGAGACTAGTAAGTAAAAAATTATTCATGATTGGACGTTACTAGGCGTGCAATGTAAAGTCAAATTCAAATTCTAGAGCTGGCGGTGGCTGACTGTCATCGTCGTCCCCCGTAGCATCCGTGGAGGCCTGCTCCACTAACCGACGACAGGTGATGTTTCGAGTCAGACCGTCCAGCATGGGAATCAGAGCGGAGTCCACATCGTTGATGTAACCCGAGTCCTCCAACAGGGGCAGCTGGGAGGGGGGCTGCAACATGGGGCTATCGGCCGCAGGGGTGCATGGCTGCTGCCGCAACCACCACCAACGCCGCCGGCCTTGGAAGAAGTCACTGCAGAAGGTAACGTCAGAGGACGTGACAGTACGGATGCCAGACCACAGAGATGGACTGCCAATTAGGAAGTTGAAAACCGTCGGCGGTTGTAGACGAATGCGCAGAGCGAACTGGGTCACATTTGCAACAAGGAGCTTTCGCACATACGGTACCAGGGCCTTGAACATAAGAAAAAAAGTGACTGCAGTCAGGACAGTTGTTACAAATTTATAGAAAGGACGGCAGCGCTGAAATGCAACACTTTACCGGCTGACCACTCTGACCTAAAAAGCGACTTGCCCATACAGTAGGTGGGTGGACTCATGAAATGCCAACCGAAATTCCGAAATGCGTTTACGTTTCGAAAAGATTTATAAGATAGGGTTGTAAAAGTAATCGGCCTGCAGCATAATTCTATAATATTTCGGCTACCTGAGGATGCGGGCTTTCGAACGAACTTCCTTCCGGCTGCACGTGAAAACTAAACTCTGTAAAAAATGACTACTTACGCAGCATGAAGTGTTCTCGCTGATTTTCAATGCTCCTAAAAGTCCAATTATATTTTATGGAAAATATACATAAAAATATTCATTCTTTTGTTTATTCGGTAGTAACTTCGGTTTTCTGGAAATTTATACTCGAAGAGAGGGTAGTATTCGGTTTTCAAAAATTTCCCAATTCCTGAATAATTTTGAGCACCCTCTACCGTTACACTTGGATTCAGGGTTTCCAGACTACAAGCCGTATGTTTTCCGCGCACGGAAAACCACACATTTTTCTACGGTAATAACCGTGGACCATATAGGGTTCATAAAATTTAGCAGTGGATTTGATCCATATTGTTAACTTTACAAGCCACATTGGTACATAACGGTTTACGAACGGCCATTTCGGGGTATTTCAAAGTCCCACAATTAGAAACTCTTTCTAAACCAAATCCCGTGCATCCTTTGAGTATAAAATTAGAAGAAGACGTAATTTTCTACCGAATGAGTAAACGAACTAATATTTTTATGCATGTTTTCCATGAAATATAGTCCGACTTTTAGCGACGTCAAAAATCAATTGGAAAAATTCATACTACTAAGTAGTCATTTTTTACAGAGTTTAGTTTTTGCATGCAGCCGGAAGGAAATTCGTTCGAAAGCCGGCGTCCGGAGGTAACTGAAATATTATAGAATTATGTTGCAGGCTGACTACTTTTACAACCCTTCTTAGTTAGTCTTTTAGAAAGGAAAGGGCATTTGGGAATTTCGGTTGGCATTTAATGAGTTAGCCCACCTACTGTATGTAAAGAATAGCGGGTGGCGAGGCACTAACGAACTTCGGTTTGATGGGGTGCTTATCACCCATCTGGTAGACCGCAGTGGTAGATCAGCTGCGGCAGGCGTGTATGTTTACGTTGTCGGTCTGGGTTGTGGTCGACTGAATGAACACAAACAAGCCCCAAACAGTCCTCTACCCCTAGACTCTGTCGTCTCTCCTCTTCGAATCTCAAGTGATCCACACTTGACTGGCGGACGACGGCTAATAAGCCAAAAATGGCCATTCCAGTCTCCCTTGTCTTTGTCGGTCTCAACTCATATATGCATGCACGTGAAGAGCTGAGGCAGTGTACATTCCGAGATAATATGATGAAGGTAGAAGGCTCGTCGGAAAAAATCGAGTTGTATTCGCGAATTTTCAAGCTGGTGACACAGGCCCATCGGCAGGCGAAATAAACGGAGAAAAAGTGAAATGATCAGACCAAATTGGTAAGCGCGACAGGACAGCCACCAACAAACAAGCAACCAGTGTGTGAAAAGGGTAGGCATATAATTAGGCAAGGATCTGGGGCGAGGAAGGGCAGGGAAAACTGTTGCGGCTCCCTGTGTTGGAGGATAGAGGGGTGACGATTGAGTGGGGCTGCAGACAGTGGAATTAGTGATCATCGATCCGGCATGGTGGAAGGCAGAATTCAGTGCGCCACCGTTGAGGGTGTTAAGGGTTGCAGTTGTAGTTCGCTGTCTGGGGGAGGGGGTGGCCCAGTGTGGATTAGCGGCTGTTGTTGGGCTGTGGGCGCAAGTCAGTGAGTCGGGCACACAGACCTTCGTAATGAGCGTCCAGATCGACATGGCGATTGATGCTGGTCGTGTTAGAGTGCCAGGCTTCGAGGAATTCTCGAGCCTATTTGGTGTTAGACATGGCAAAAACTTCAGTTCCCTCCCAATTGAAGCGGTGGTCGCATTCAAGGACGTACGCAAATACAAGTGACAAAGGGTCACGTCGGCTGATGGCCAGTTTATGTTCGTTTATAAGCGTCCAAAGTCTTCGGTCTGTGTGATCGCAACATAATCGCAAGAGTAATTGTCACACGGAATGCGGTAGATGACACTAGTTTGCTGCTATTTGGGCATGGGATTTTTTTTACTCGAGATAGTGTTGCGTGCAGGTAAGACGCCGGCTTGTGGGCAATGGAGATGTCACACCGCTTCGGTAATGACCTGCATGCAGGGTAAGGAGTAGAACTTCCGCAGTTATGGTCCTTCATTAAAAGCGAAGCATCGCGGTTGTTTCTAATGTCTGAAACAGTTTTTCACAAAGCTGACGGAGTATCACTTGAGCCGGAATAGCCGATAGAAGAAAATGAGTTACTGCCTTCGACTCGAATGTTGATTGAAATTTCGGTTCGGTCCCGGAGATATAACTCCAAGTACTGCACTGAGTAATTTCTGAAATTATTCACTTGATTATTCTCTGGAGTTCATATACCAGAAACCGCTAGAGAACGCTGGGGGTCCCACTGAAGAGCCGAACCCCTCGCAGCTGTGTCATGCAGCGGCAGAATATCGGCGAAACACGTGTCTGGGCTTTTAGCAAGTATCTATGTCGGGAGTACGGTATAATACCTTTACCAAATAAATATATGTATAAACTAGTTTTCGACTATGCACTCATCCTTCCAATAAACTGCAGCCGTTCAAAAGCAAGCTTAGGGAGCTCAGTCGGCGGCTGATTAGTTCCAAGAGCTACTGTGTGTGTGTAACCAAGCGATCAAAGTCCGCGCATCGCAAAGAACGGTGAGGGTGAGGAATTACAAAAAATGTGTGTGAGGAATCATATACGAAAAGAAGGGGGTGGAGCAAAAACGCACACAGTCTGATGACTACTGGTGTCACTTTGACGCCTGCCGGCCTAAGACTGTGTGGCGGGGACCGGACGACAACGACGGCGGCCTTTCCACTGACATCGTCACAAATCAGCTGCATTCCTAGTCAACGCGAGGCAGACACACACCCAAACAGGACCGAAACTAGGGCGATAAAAAGCACACACACAGTGCTTCACTCAGAAGTAATCAAACGCTAGAGAACACAGGCGTAGTTAATTTTCAGCCGCATGAGGGCAATCGCGAAGAAAGACTTAATTAACGAGAGCTGAACAGTGTGCGTTAGAACGGGGCGGTGGCGACGACTAACGTTTGCAAATGAGTCGGCAAAACACGCGATTTATGTGAGTGAAAAAGTGTGAACGAAAACAGCGCACTGAAGGCAGTCAACAAAACACCAAATACCTAGAAGGGTTTTCAGATTTTTGGCGATAAAGTGGAAAAAGAGTCTCCGTATGCAGCCGAAAAGGTGATTTACTCGACAGAAAAATAGGATTTCCGTCACCTGACTTTTCGAGTTCACGCTCGAACGCATCGTCGGGCGCACGGGCGACAAATGATTTATACGACGTGGTTGCTAGGTCGTACGTGCACTTATAGTAGTTATTCAACCTTGCTACGATGAAGGATTGACAGCACGCATCTAAGTTGCTAATTGACACGATGCCATCACGGCAGTTGGTGGATGGTGTAATAGGTACTGGACCATTAAGACCGCAAATACCGGAGTTAACTACATCACCCAGGTGAAGTTCTCGTAGAGTCATGACTCAGGCAACTCGTGACTCATGGGGCCGTCGCCTCATACAAGAATTTTGAGATCATACGTGTGACTGGGTCGAATTGAGTCAGCTATGACCTGAGACTTGGCGTCATTCCTTCGCCTGTTGTTGCGCGTTCAGTCATCCACGCCTGCAATAATCGCCTACTTTTCCCAATATAGTTGCCATCTCAACAACTGCACCAGACCCGGTAAAGTACTCCAGACGTTTCTTGTCCTGGAAACGAGTCTTACAGTTTCATCACATGTCATCAGAAGGCTGTCTTTGGTCTGCACGCAAAGGCAACAGACGCCTTCTGGGATGTTCTTGATATACGGGAGTGTCCGTCAGAATTTCAGCCCGATGCGAATTGGTTTTGCTTCTTGCCCTTGCATGCACCAACCGATGAAGTTTTGTGGGTGGTCATTCACCCTAAGCCCCCTGTTAAAGGTATGGCAATTCCGCCAACCACGTCTTCTGATTCACTGCTATAAACCATCTTTAGCAAGTGCGCTTCTGTCTGGCTGGTTACAGACAAGGGTCAGTACTTGCCTCGGAGTTATAGCTTCCCTGATCGTTGGCAAACTTAAGCGGTCTGAAGATGGATTCATTTCAACTCAGTTTGACTGAAGAAAAACTGGTCAGATTGCGACCAAATCCGATCTTTATTGATATCCAAGTAATTTCCTATGCTAGTGAAATTCACAGACGAAACTCCACGGTGAGAAATATAAACAGGAAAAGTACGAAATAAGTCCCTACGGAGGGCAGAAAAGTCGATTTTGCTTCCATGAAAATCAGGTAGGGGCGGGTACGAAAAATTGCACTGCTTCAGCTTATAAATTTTGATTTGTAAATTTGTGGCGTTTCGTGTCAGGAGACTCAGTTGCAAACGTTTGGCAGTAGTTTTTTTCTTTTAGCACACTGACAGTTACTAGGCGTAAACATATATATTTTGAGTACTCGCGACGGCTAGTCGTTTGGATGGCTACTGAATTCGGAGAGCGGCCAGTCTGGCGGTCGACTACGGACAACATCAACAGCAAGGTGTTCGTCAACAGTGTGACGGACGTTTTCATTTACAACGACATCTATCGATGCCAATTTGATATCGTAATTTTATACGACAGTGCCCCTCTCCATCGTTCTAACGAAGTATGAACTAAACAAGGCTTTCAACAGTAATCTGACTTTTTGACAACAGCCAGCCTCTCTGCGTGTGGCCTTCAGTCGATTTTTATCCCTAACAACAACTCGGATCTCAATCCTATCGATTTTTTTCGTACTTATCAAAAGACAATGGCACGCGGCAGATATGAAACTTTCAATTCAAGAAAAGCTTGATTTTGAGCATTAGAATCACATTGAACAATCCACTATATACAACCAGGCCATCTCCATATCCGAGACACCTTCTGCTGTCATAAATACAAACGGACAATCAACAAGGTACTGATCTTTTGTACGTTTTATTTCAGTATTTTTCTTTTTCAAGCATCGCGCTTCCTTATGCACTCTTACAGTTGGCCCCATGTAAGCGATTTATAATATGGCCATTTTCTGGAATTATAGTTTTCGGTGAAAATTAATTATTTTTACGTTTTTAAATATTAATTAACTCAACTAGGCCTTCTTTTTGACAAAGATCGTTTTTTACGGCTGTCAGACTTTGAGGAACGCAGTCTGGGCGGATTTTCTTGCGCTAACTCATGACGTTTCATGAGCTTGTACACCTGCTGTGCCTTCTAGTCATTGGATAATGCGAATTCTCTAGGTTGTCCGACAAAACGTTGAACAGAAATGACTATAATTTTGTGTATTTTAAGAGTAGAAAAGGACAAGAAATTGCCGTCAACTGGTAAAAATAACGACAGCGAGAATGAACTCACTGTAATAAAGGCGCAGACGATCGCATTGGTTACGGCAGAGAGATCAAGCGATTCCCCAGACTGATTGTCCACAGCGAAGACAGAAGGTTCACCTAACTTGTGCAACCGAACCCAGGCAACGAGCGGTTTCGTTGCAACCGTTTGTCCCTCATTATCCGATGAAGGGGCGCGCAGAGAGGACTGTTGTGTAGTCATCAACCAATGGCGCACCTGCTGTTCCGGCGGGAGGCAAAAGGTCAAACGCGAAGGAATCGGCCGACCGTCTATCCAACTGAACTGGAAATACCAATGGTATGGAGGGGATGGTGTTACGGAGAATAATCGGAAGGGAGTTTTGATGGTCGCTTAGCTGGCAAACGAACCAAGACGTTCCCAGAGTGCGTCACATCAGAATGCAGGAAAGCAACCAAAAGCATTGGCATTATGAGCAGAAGGTCTGATAGCCCGCGAGGCCACAGAAAGTTCCAAGTTCGTGCAATTATCGACGATCAATTTCTGATTTTTTAAAAAAAGTGTCCTCCTTTAAGACTGAGTGTGAGTAACTGAAGCAATTGACTGCGTACAGTAAAGAAGGTAAAAATGGGCAGGCGGTCGACAAAATGAGCCCAAAACAAAAATCCTGACTCATGCCTTACTCGGGTAGTAAATGGTGAAGGCAGCATGTCGGCCTCAGCCTCCTCGTCCAGCCAGACAACAGTAACAATCGCAGGTGCGTTGGGCGTCTGTGCGTTCAGGCTGAGTGGACGGCGGGCGCGCAGAGCCGAGGTCAGAAGGGTGAACTGTTCTGCGGTAAGTCGCGCCACACAGCCGTCCTCCACAATGGACAGACTCGAATGGCTCGCACCGCCCTCAAAGACGACAAAGGAGGCACCCTAGCAGATAGGAGAAGAAAAGGGACGTTAAGTGGAGGTTGATGATGTACGCACATACAGTCTGCGCGTGCAGCACGGATTTAGCAATGCTTCTCTAGTAATTGCAGAAGATTCCCAGTAAACACGCCATTGATCCTTCCGAGCACGTTAAGTTTGAAAACTCCGTCTTACTGCAATTGTTAAAAGCTGACAGTTTGCCCGACGGGAATTTTAACTTTACGCATTACGCAGGGTTCTTGGCCTTATGGGGCCTGGCGAATGGCCATGGGAAATGATTGCTTGATTTAGGAACACTTGTATGTTGGACAGTGTATGATGACTACGCAGACAGGCTTCCCTCTTAGCTCCGTTGGTAAGTCTGACCGGAGTATGGAGTTGCCCAAAATGCCGGTTAAGCTGCAGGCTCGGCTTAGAGTAGATGCGTTGGACGGCTTAGCTTTCTGCCGGAAGGGAAAGAGGGAGCGGGGTACACGTGCTTCAAGTCTTCTTCGCTGTATATGTCACAGCCACAAACATTTCACCTCTGATGATGGTGTTGATCGTCCTCGTCGTTTGCGATTGGCGAGATTATTTATGGGGCAGGGATGACTTGCAGGGTATCTGCCCAACTTTCTGCTTTCATGTTCACCATGTTCAAATAACAGGTTGAATTGGAGACGACTAGGAAGAAGCGTGGAAGTAATGGTCGGGTTCAGAGATACGAACGCAACACAAGAGCTCGATCGTCGCATCCGACGATGTCCACTGTATGCCCCAACAGCAGGATGATAGCAGGGACGGTCACATTTGCGAAAATTTAGTTTACAGTAATGATGCATATTGACCTAACCGGGAAAAACTCCGCACCTCGGTGGGATTCGAACGCGCACAGCAAGGGGAAGGCTGCCAAAACATCTATGATTTACAGTAATAGCAGACTTTCACAGCACCACCCGCACACTTTCCTCCTCCCCCACCTGGACCCGGTGTCAAAACAGAGTCAAGAAGACCGGAGACGGGGAGGGCGCAGGTAGATGGCACGATCGAGCCCGCACATTAGTGTTTCACTCCACACCTCCTGGTCCACACAGAAATAACCAGGTTTTTGAACAACAAGAACAATGGGGTGAGGGGGGGGGTTGCAGGTTTCAAGTGTGCGCAACGTGCACCGGCAACCGAGTCTGCCACTGCACCCCGAAATGTTGTCATTTGTTATGGTGTGCAAGTCCGATAACGCCTGCCAGGATCCGATATGGCCCCCGTCCAGCGCATCTACCACGTGGCCCGTTTGGGGAGCGCACGCGCGCAACACACTAGCCGGGTTCTTACGTGACCTCGAATCAGACTAAAGGGAATGGGCTTTGGATCTATAATTGAAGGCCCACGTAAACGGTCCATTGAGAAGGAGGCGCTGCGATCTGAAATTCTGCTTTGAGGTGGATCAGGACAACTGCTAAGTGGATAACCTGTCAAGAGTCGACTTTTAGCAGTAGCGAATTCAAAATAGTGTCAGGTTCGCTCTACTATGGAAAGCATGCGCCGAGTAAACATCGTAGTTTCCTCCTCCCATCAGGCGCCAGTGGCAAATTTGAGTTAAGTAGCATGGAGACGTGACTCGGCGGTTTAGACGGCTTAAAGTATACGTCTACGCGTGCCGCACGATGACTCTTGGCAGCCAAGATCGGGTCGGAGACTGTTGTGTTTTCTGGCCCATTACGGAAGTGCCAAAGGCTTGCATGCGGTTGTTTCGACAAAACCAGCCTTAAAGTATCCATGAATATGCTTTCCTGAATCACTTTAAAGACACAGAATTCGGGGCCCTAAGGGCCGCAAGTATGGATAATCTTGTATAATCCATGCTTGTATCATTTGTCTTAAAAACGTCCTACTTACATGCCCGCGGCGGTGGGATTTTATAAACTCTACAGCCGGTTCCTAAGCCGAATGCGATTTGAAACCCGTAGACAAATGAGCAGTAGCAAGACCACTGCGGTTATTCGTGCGACCAAGTACGCAGAATGCCTCAGTTAAGAAAAAGCAACACTTTAAGCACACCCTTCGACGACGGTAACTGAATACGTCACCTCCAGTTTTTGTTGCTACGAAATGCTTACTTACTTCATTTACGTAGGCATGTAATTAGGGTTGCGGTTAAAACCTACGAGAATGACTACATTTCGGACAAAGGTTCGGTCAGGTCTAAGGTTAAGTGTAGGGTAAGGATTAGGGTTAGGGCTAAGTTTTCCGGCCGCATAAAATCTTATCCAGCCCAACCTTCTGTATCCAAAAACCTTGGATTACCTGTTTTTCGCCCGTTTACATGCTCTTAATTCGAACCTTTCATATCACACTTCTGTTCCGGCACATCGTTGGAGTAATAAAACAGACAGGAATACGAGTTTTCACATTGTCCTCCGCAGATTCCGTTAGTTACCGCCACCATGTGCCCTACAGATAAAACGCATATTAACATTTACCCCGTATAACAGGGGCCCCCGTGCTCCATTTTCTCAGTGGGCTTACATATTCAATCCCTGCCCTGATTTCAAGTAAAAAACTGCAAGAAGTCGGGAAAAGCGAGGGGAGGCAGGGGTGGGGAGAATCACAAGATTGTGATGGTGGTGGTGGTCGAATTAACAGAACTCAACGAACCGTCATGGGCACCGTCCGTGTCGACTGATCATGACGGCTGCAGGGTAGACACTCGCTTTGACACCCACCTCCCTCGGATGGGTAGCTGCAGACAAGGTGAGAATCGGCGCTCTGAACAAAATCGCCCGAGAGACCGAGAAGAAGACAGTTGCGAAGACGTTTCGTGAACAAGTTCTTTGCCAAATGTGATGACAGTGAATTGAACTGTAGCAGTGGAGATAAAAAAAAGAGGATTGACTGACAGACTACAGAAACGTAGGACAAAGTGCAGACAAGGAACCACAACGCTTCGACAGGGCCACTGACACGTATATGTCAGCTGGAATCACAAAGCGCCACGAGAGAAAACTTTAGAAGAGAGACGTGGGTATCGGTTCACTTTTAGTAAGCGTGCACCGCCTGGTGATTGGTGTTGGCCTGTGAATACGCAGATGAGCAAAGGTGAATCCGAAACAAAAAACGGCTTAGATAGGTTGGAGGACACCTAACAATAAAATCAGTTGGTACACAAGTAGCTGGAGTGTTAATTAAGCGATTAGTGCATTTGCTGTAATCTTCCTCAAAACTAACTCTACCGTCGGAACTTTCAAAAGGGCGATGAGGGAGATGTCAAACTCGGGCGTTAAGATGGAACAACTGAATAGGTTCCTACTGGCCTATCGAGCGACGCCCAAAGCCGGGCAAGGTAGATCTAACTCGGCAGAAAAATTCTTTGGCAGACAACGAGAGGCGCGTCTCCAGTAACTGAAACGTGTGCCTCAGAAAAAGCCACCAAGAAAACCATGATCAGGAGGGGGGGGGGGTGAGGGAAGGCACACTTACGAAAATACGTTTATGGAGCAGAACCTTGGATAGAGGGTACAATCAAAAGGGCACACAGCGTGGTCTTTGATGTTGAGACGAATAGAGGTTATACGAGAAGACGGGCGAACCAAATGGGACACCGAACGAGCTCAGACCACAAGTTGGCCCTTCAGTACTTGGATTCACAAGACTGACGTTCTAGGTGGTCGTCGAAGTCGCCAGAAAGTCCTCTAGAACAAGGCGTCTCCCTAAAAAACTTGCGATCGTCTCTGGTCGTCGAACGTACGAGGCCCACTCTTCAACAACGGGAGATGCCAGGGTGGCCCGGAACGGGACGCACCATTCTTCTCCTGCCGTTATGCACGACATGGGACAGCCGAACCGGAAGGTCAGTTCCGCCTACCGAACCCGCGCGTTACTCAGCAATTAGCGCGCGCCACCGGATTATGCACGGCCTTCAAGGGCCGGGAACGCGCCAGGGTATGCCTATGCTGGCGCTCTGAGCCCAGCCCCCATTGGAACAGGAGCATCAAGTAAGGACAAGACCCTTGAATACGACGACATGAACAGAAGGATTGGGAGTTGGTGTACACGTATTGATCATCGCAGTGTGGCTGTTACCTGGCCGTCTTCTGTTCCACGGGGGATATAACATTACGGCAGACAGCAAGCCGTACACGGTCACTGTCATTAGAAAACCGACAGGCGGAAAGACACAGGTATAGGAATAACCAGGAATTATGACTCCATAATTACATCTGAGTAGCACAAAAAGCGGCCTGCAGTAATCGAGAAACTGGGTTATTAACTATATCAGACTACCTAAATGAAATAAGTAGCTATCGCATGACAATATATTACAGGTGTACATATGCACCTGTAGACGGAGTACGAACTGGGATGACTATTTCTGGCTTACTAGCTGTCGCAACTCCAGATTTGGATATCCTGAGACTCGAACCCGGAGTCTGAATATTGGATCACGAGTCCATCTTTGTGTGGGCTTTTTGGTCGGGAATATTCACTATCGTAGGAAGGGCGTTCACCGACTAGGTTACGCTGCGTGCCCGTCCCATCGTTATGAAGCTGTCTGCGAGGCCCAAGTCGCAACGGGACGAGCATGGCCCGTAACCTGACCGATGAACGTCCTCTCTTATCGTACGTATGTAAGTAGAAAAACAGTCGTTTTCGTTGTGTAGTGCTGCATTTTCCTAATTGATTTTCGAGGCCCCTCAAAGTCCAATTATATTTCATGGAAAACAAGCCCAAATATTCATTCTCCCGCTCATTCGGTAGAAATTTGCGTCTTCTTCCAATTTTGAACTCGAAGAAAGTGTATTATTCGGTTTTCATAAACTTTCCCGATTCCCGAATTGTTTTGAACCCGCTCTGCTGTCATACTTGCATTCAGGGTTACCAAACTACAAGCCATTTATTTTCCGCGTACGGAAAACCACACATTTCTCTACGTTATTAAGAGGAGACCACATGGGGTTCATAAAATTTAGCATTAGATTTGATCCATACTGCTAACTGTACAGGCTACACTGGTAAATGCAGAGACATGATGATTTATGAACGGCCGTTTCAGGGTATTAAAATGTCGCACAATTTGAAACATTTTTAAAAACGAATTATGTCCTTCCGTGGAGTATAACATTGAAAGAGAAGGCAATTTTTTACCGAATGGGCGAAAGAATGAATATTTTTGTGAAGAAATATGATTGGACTTTTAGGGGCATCGAAAATCAAAGAGAACAATGCATGCTGCTTAGATAGTCATTTTTTTACAGAGTATTGTTTTTGTATGCAGCCGGAAGGAAGTTTGTTCGTACGCCGGCACCCTGAGGTAGCTGAAATATCAAAGAATTATGTCGTGGGTTGACTAGTTTGACAACCCTACTTAATTAATCTTTTCTAAACGAAAACGCATTTGGGAATTTCGGTCGACATTTCATGAGTCAGCCCACCAACTGCATGTGAACAGAAATATCGTCGTTTTCTTTGTTGATGGAAAAAATGACAATCACCAAGAACTGCACTTCTTTCCTGCTGTCCGAGTTAATAGACTGAGAATTATAAAGGGCGCACCAGATCAGTGAAATTGAGTGGCTGACGATTCGGAGGGCTTGGCCGGCTCTCCGTTAGCAAGGCGTTTTGTGCAAAAATTGACCAGAATTCTCAACAAACCGTCGAGTTAGTTGGCCTTGGGCAGATCAATTTTTACTCTTCTTTCGCTGTTTTGGCCTACTGGCCGTTTTCTGTGAGCGTAGGAGGCCTCCTGCGTCGTGTGTCGTCAACCCAATAGGGTTCGGTTGCACCTGTGCCCCCGTTTTGGGCGAATTAATCGAAGGGCCGTGCTTGCTCGATATGTTTAAGCTCCATGTGATCGTCTTGTCCTGGTAATGGCGTGTGCAGTGACGTGGGATTCTATAGGCCAAAGGAAGGTCTAGATGCCCGCTGACATCTGAGTTCCAAGCCTCAAATGTGAGACGTTCTGTCTTTGAGGTGCCCCCGCTTAAGACGGTTGTGCCTTGGAAACCAAAACTGTGGCCAGTCTCTTAGAAGTGAGTCGCAAGGTGAGTTCGGGTCTAGTCTCCGAGTTTCTAGTTTCTGCTCGTGTAGAGAGGTCTGCAATTTCCGCCCGGTTTCCCCAACGTAGTTGCAGTCTCCATCGCTACAACGTATTTCATAGACAGCTGCACAAAGCGCGTTGATAATGGAGAGCCGGATAAGCCCTCCGAGATGTCAGCCACGCAATTCCACTTATCCACTGAGCCCTTCATATTTCTCAGATCATCGACTCGACATATGCTAACCTGAGACGGTAAAGACTTTCAAATAGACACACCGTGAGCTGCAAGTGCAAGCTGTCCTCTTCCGCCTTTCCACGCAGAACAATTTCGAGGCGGGGCACGTGCAGGAATGGCATGTCTGCAGAAGCCTCCGTGTCCGACTGTCCGGCAAGATCGGAAAAAAAGACGCTGAGAATGCTGTCATGGGCTGCCTGTGGGAAGACAGATGGCCGATCGCGATCCGAGAGGAGGCTAGGTGAAAGGCTGTTTGTGTCGGGACTATTTGACAATCTCCCCAGGCAAAGACGCAGTCGCAGAGGCAGATGTCGAGCCCAGGCGGCTTCCCAGGCATGTACAAGA